TGAGCACTGACAGTGATGGATGGCACCACACTCTGCGTGCAGTGGCAGCCCCTACAGGACAGAGGGCGAGAGTGCCGGACACAGTACGAGGTTACAAGGGGGCCATGGCACTCTGGTTGAACCCGGAGGAGACGTGACCGGAGGTGTCTACCCGGGGGACCCCCAAAGGAGGGCTTGGGGACCACGTGTCCAAGTGGAGATCCTCCTCGAGAGTTCTCGAGCGTGGGTGTGGCTAGGGGCGGGGCCAGCCCCACCCCTAGTTATAAGCCAGAGCCCTGAGAGGCACTGGCTGCTGTTGTCATCCTGAAGAATCGACGTTCCACGTTCTACGTCCAAGAAGAGTCATCAACATGTGGACCTGGACCCAAGCTGGGGTCCCGTCCATTGTAGCTACTCCGAGTGTAATTAGTGTAGTTAGCCTGGTGGACCACCACCATTGGTTGTTATCTGGTGAAGGGGCAGTTACCCCTTTGTGTTATCGTGTTGGTATCAATAAACGTGTTGCCTCCAGTTCTAGTGTGCACCTAAATTGAACCCACTGCGTGTAAGCAGCTTTCATCTGTCAATGATTGTTGACTGACTCGGAATTCTACAAAGGTGAAAACAAATCCGATGTGAATTGTGCCCTTTGCCTGTAATATCTGTAGTGGATTAACATGCGCATACAGGGTGGATGGTAAAGACGCGTAAGTAATGGGCAGTGGGGTCACGTCGGGCCGGCCAGGTGCGGCAGCGGGGAACTGTGAAGTAATGACGGGCCAATTAAGTTGGTAAGCGATGTATGGCTGTGATTGGCCGGGGTTGTTGTTAAGGGCGGAGTGGCGCCGGAATGTCTGGTGATAGAGGGGGCAGAAAACAAGTGCGGGGGATGCGGGGCGTCGGGGGCACGTGGCCTAATTAATTGGTTGTTAATGAGAACGGGGATATATTCAGGAGACCGGGAGAACGAGGGGAGTGGTCGCTGGGACTGGAACGAAGCAGGTCGGGGAGAAACGGAGAGAAGACATAGGAGACAGAACAGGCTAGCAGTGGAGCAGAGACAAGCAGAGACAAGCAGAGACCAGCAGAGACTGAGAGCGATAGAGACAAGCAGAGACGGAGCGAGAGCGAGATGCAGAGACAGAGTGAGGCAGAGACACAGCGAGCGACGGAGACAGGGACACAGTGAGCGACGGAGAGAGACAGGGACACAGCGAGCGACGGAGAGAGACAGGGACACAGCGAGCGACGGAGAGAGACAGGGGCGACGCAGAGGGACGGAGAGAGACAGGGACGACGCAGAGGGACGGAGAGAGACAGGGACGACGCAGAGGGACGGAGAGAGACGGGGACGACGGAGAGGGACAGAGAGAGACGGGGACGACGTAGAGGGATGGAGAGAGACAGGGACGACGCAGAGGAACGGAGAGAGACAGGGACGGAGAGAGACGGGGACGACGCAGAGGGACGGAGAGAGACGGGGACGACGCAGAGAGACGGGAACGACGCAGAGGGACGGAGAGAGACGGGGACGACGCAGAGGGACGGAGAGAGACGGGGACGACGCAGAGGGACGGAGAAAGACGGGGACGACGCAGAGAGATGGGGACGACGCAGAGGGACGGAGAGAGACAGGGACGATGCAGAGGGACGGAGAGAGACGGGGACGACGCAGAGGGACGGAGAGAGACAGGGACGACGCAGAGGGACAGTGAGGGATAGGGGAGGAAGTGGAGTGAGCGAGACAGGTGGAGCACGGCGAGCGAGCTGCGGCTAGGCGGAATGACGAAGTCACAGACGTAATGCGAAGAGTTGTAATAAAAGTGGTGTCGGAGAAAACAATAAAGTTGTCCGCGTGAAGTCAACCACTACATATCCAATACATTCAGAAGGAAGAGAACATTTTCATTCCTTGGTTTGATAGCCTAATCTGGGAGTTGACTCTATAGTTTTCCAAATAAAAGTCTTCACTTGAGGTAAAAGGAATAATGCAACTATAACAAATTTAAACTGCAGTTCCGGGACAAAACGGTTGAACCCTTTGGGCTTGTGCCTTTCAGTTCTCATTCCACCTGGAACTCCACTGACAATTTCATTACGAAGCTATTTGATATTATATTGGTGAATGGTATGAGTATTTCAGATCGTCTACAATTTATCAAAGGGAATTCATCAAGTTTAAGCCCCAATTATAAAGTCAATTATGCAAAATGAAAATGCAACCCAGGTTTTTTCGAAAGCCACTTTAGTCTTTTGCTGATGGCCAAGATATGGCTGCAGCAACTGACATTTGCATTAAAACATGTGATAAGGTATAACGTATACTATACTTGGATTTCTGTGTCATAAAATGTAGATATGAGAAGTACAGACAATTCAAATTTCGATTTAAAGCTTTCGTGACTGCAAGGATTCATCTTCTTTGATTCTTTCGGTAAAGTCACGTAGAATGAGAATAAAATAATAAATTGATAAAATAAAATAACACAATAAAATTCTCACGACGTTTCGGCCACAACACAAGCGCTGGAGCCGTTCGCTCCAGCGCTGTCCTCCAGACAGTCTCGTCCCTTCACCTGATGAAGGCCGCTTGTGTTGTGGCCGAAACGTCGTGAGAATTTTATTGTGTTATTTTATGTTATCAATTTATTATTTTATTCTCATTCTACGTGACTTTACCGAAATACCCAAAGAAGATACAGACAATTCAATTAACAAATGATAAAATATTAACACGGTAGGGCATCAGTTTCTTTCAGGGCATCTGTTCAATAGTAGATTGGTATGAAATACATGGCTAGAATCCATGGAGGTGAATGGTTCTGTTAATATTTATATAAATTATGCTTAGTTTAATCCCTTAATGTAAAAACAATGTCCTATAATTGAATTGGCAAAAAAGTTTGATCATCCCACAGTTTAGGTCAGAGCACAGAAAGCTTCGTGATTTAGTCTGAAATTAATTCCTAATCAATTTTAAATGATCCTGCCTTATCTCTAGTCTGGGCAACAGTAATTGATGGACTGAAATCATGGTCAGTTGTCATATACATCAAAACAGTTGCTAAGATACAGACGGAACAGGCATAAGGCACATTTGGAGTACGGTATAAAATTCATGACTTTATGTTATTTCCTCCAAGTCACTTGTATGTTAGAGGCAATGTGCATGAAAAGCATAGCATAATTTTTGCATGATAAAAAAACACAATTTGCTGACACAATCGCCTTTTAAACCGATTTGACTGATTTAAAAATCAGCACATATCCCAGAACCCACTGTTTACCTTGCTTTGTATAATGGGGTTTGTTGAAAAACTATTTAAATAATTTTCGATTTAAAGCTTTCATGACTGCAAGGATTCATCTTCTTTGGTTCTTTCGGTAAAGTCACGTAGAATGAGAATAAAATAATAAATTGATAAAATAAAATAACACAATAATATTCTCACGACGTTTCAGCCACAACACAAGCGGCCTTCATCAGGTGGAGGGGACGAGACTGTCTGGAGGACAGCGCTGGAGTGAGAAAGCCACGCTGAGATCACGACCTTTAAGCTGTGTGAGAAGAAACAAAGCGCCTTGACAAAGGAATTAGCATATAATTTAGCATTGAAATGGCTGAGTGATTAGCTTGTGACTGGTCACAGAAAAGGCTATGTTAAAGTTAAAGCATACACATCTGCAAAGGCACAATATATAATTGTATTGTATACAATATATAATTGTATATTGTATTGTATACCCAGTTACTGTGAATAGCTCAGATGTGTAGGCCTTAACTTCAACATAGCCATTTCTGTGACCAGTCACAAGCTAATCACTCAGTTATTTCAATGCTAAATTCGCCTAGTTATTTCAATGCTAAATTCTCCTGTTTGATTTGTACTAGGTGCCTCGGTGAATGTATATGCTCTGACTTTAACATAGCTATTTCTGTGACCAGTTACAAGCTAATCACTCAGCTATTTCAATGCTAAATTCTATGCTAATTCCTTTGTCATGGAGTGCCTCTGCTGATGTGTATACTTTAACTTAGCTATTTCAATGCTAAATTCTATGCTAATTCCTTTGTCAAGGGGTGCCTTTGCGGATGTGTATGCTTTAACTTTAACATAGCCTTTTCTGTGACCAGTCACAAGCTAATCACTCAGCCATTTCAATGCTAAATTATATGCTAATTCCTTTGTCAAGGCGCTTTGTTTCTTCTCACACAGCTTAAAGGTCGTGATCTCAGCGTGGCTTTCTCACTCCAGCGCTGTCCTCCAGACAGTCTCGTCCCCTTCACCTGATGAAGGCCGCTTGTGTTGTGGCCAAAACGTCGTGAGAATATTATTGTGTTATTTTATTTTATCAATGTATTATTTAAATAATATTTTACTTCATAATTTATTCTTTGTTGAAAAACTATTTAAATAATATTTTACTTAATAATTTATTCTTTAGATTTTTATATATATGACAAAAACTTAGTAAAAATAGACAAGGGAATATTTCAGTAAACTTTACTTCACCGAGTGATAATTATCACGCCCTAAAATTAAGCCCAAAACTTGTACGTAGGTATTATGTTGAGTGTATTGATTATTTTATTTTTAAAAACTAAAACAGATACAAATACCAGAAATGTATCAATAAGATAGTCGTCATATGAAATGGCAAGATATGTGAATTAGACCATTAAATTGTCTTAATACAACAGAATATCAACCAAAAAGGAAAGTCAATGTCTATCGTATTTTATATCGCCGGTTTTATAAGATTGATGGCACCAAAAAATGTACAACTGCTGAAAGCTAAATTGTTTCTAAACGTATGTATAGAATGGATTCGAAAATGTTCTTTAACCTTTGTGCTGTTAATTTTGCCAGCATCAGGAGAAACAGGCTGATATATTTTCATACTTTTAACTTCAAAGCAACCAGAAAATAGATTGTTGTTTACATACATCACACGGAGATACGCAGGTCCTTAATACAGTACAGTACTTCATTAGGGAAAAACCACGTGGTACCAAATGCCACAGGTGCAGCAAATATATTTATTTGATATACAGCATCAATTGCACTTGAAAGTAAATATTGGTATCAATGTAATTTTCAATCGTATGTATACTCGGCATTTGATATCCATAGTTTTTGCGAGTTTTATACTTAATATTTTGGCAGGAAGCTCAAAACATTGCAATCTCTCATAGCTCAGGTTTTAAAAATTGCAATGCTGCATTCATATCCAGATTTATTTTACAATTGTGCCTGTGTACATATTTTCGCGAGCTATTTCCAGTTGAGTAAATGACTGATATTTTGAGTAGCTCTTTATGGTGTAATTGTAAAATAAATCATTTACACCCCATTGCCAATCCACTTTTGGATGAAGGCCTCCCTAGATCATGTAATTTAGGGGTTGTTTAACAATATATTATCACACTGCTCAGTGTGGGAGGGTGAATGAGGGTGGCTGGGAATGGTGCTGACATCACCCACCACTGATGTTAGTTATGGGTGGGAATCGAACTCAGGTTGCCTGGTTCATAGCACAGTGTGCTAACCAAGTGCAGCCACTAAACCCCCCAATGATGTATAGATGACCATAACAATTGCTAACGATGAAAAGTCAACACAACATAAACAGACAATTTGGACGTTGTTTGTAGTGTTTTAAGAGAACAATATTCTCATGTTTAATCAGCATTCTAAATACAGGTACTGGTGAGTATAACATCTAAATTAATCACGAGGCCTCTTCCAAAGTTAAGAAATTAGACTTGAACGTTAAATTAAGGCTTATCATAATTTGTAATAAATCCACTGATAAAACATGTTATGATCTATAGAATCACTGTCAATGAAACTACATTCACCATTATATTCCAAATATATTTCATTTTGCACAGAACTATTGCCTGCATTATGGCTAGGGAATTAAGCAATACTTTAGATGTACCAATGCATCATGGACAAAACCGTTCTGTAATGTCACAAGCATGCTCCGATATACTGCAGGTTTTCACAATTGTAAGATAGAATACACATACACAAGATGCAGCAAGCATATACAAACATATGCGCTTTGTACATATGTGTGCATATACAGCACCTAAAAAGCAATCAAGGCAGGAAATCCACTTATGGGAATATACTTTTCTACTACTAATAGGTTTATTGGATTTTCATGGAAAACACATTTTGTCAATTTGATAATACAATATTTGGGTACAAAAGCCTATTACTTAAAAGAGTGATAGCTATGGCCAGAGGCAGAGCGTGCCTTGGAATTCAATAGCCTGTAATGCACTCTCATTATAGGAGGGCCTTTATTAATGACGACTGCTGTATAGATTTGGAGTTTCTTCACATTCTGAATCATTACACATACATTTGTAGAAACCTGGCTTAAGTGGTATCAGCAGTTTTCTTTTGTACAGGAAGGCAAGGGAAATAATGTGGAATCAATTAGCCAAAAACATGAAGTTACCATTTTCTATGCATGTCTCTAAATAACTGTTATTCGTACAAAAATATAAAGAGAAACTAACGAACTATATATTCTCCACATGGATTTCTGAGTAGTCTTAGCAGTTTTTAATTCCATCTTCATCACATTCCTCACGCTCATTAGACATCTCTATTTTCCCAGACTCTGGGGAGCTTCTGTTTTTTGTTTCAGATGCAGGAGATCCTGCTATGTTCTGGCCATTCTGCTCTTTGTCTGGGTCTCCCTTGCCATTTTCTTTACCCTCTGACCCCTCTTCAAAATCGTTTTCTAGGAACTTCTGGAAAGACTCCTTCAGGTCCTGCATTGCTTCATCATCCGAGTCTCCAAAATTTCTGGGAAAGACAAAAGAAGCTGTCTAGACACATGGCTTGATAGTTTCAAGCTCAAATTGATTTTTTCGTGGATCACATTTTTTAAACATATCTAACAAAGCCAGTTAGTGAGTTACATGCCTTAAAATATATTTGTATTGAATACATTTACAGGATCTCAAATGTAAATTAATAGCATTTCAAGTCACATTCTAGTCCGGTAAGATTTTGACATTAAAAACGATCTGAAAGTTGTATTGTCACAGATTACCCACTGTGTAGTAGAGGTTTTCATATAAATATTTCATCAGTTGGCATTATAATCAATGTCAGGGGGTAATATAGATGTAAGTGAATAAAACACCAAAACATTGTAGGAGATCTCTTGCTTTTAAGTAAAATATTGCACAGGCTGTAACACATTGCAGTATACTTAGTATTTATTTCAGTGCAAAGTGCATGTTTTTACATACGTGTCCTCATCATCTGATCTTCCATCCTCTTTCATTTCATCATCTCCCTCTTCCAGTTTCTCTGCTCCATCAGTCCCCGAGTTGGCTGATGATGGCTGGATATCTTCTTCATCCTCTGCAAGAGGCAAAATATTAAAAAAGTGTGCTCTCTATTATTACACATGACCATCGTTTACAGAATAAGCTTGAATCTGCAAAACTCTTTGGATTGTTTATGGAAAAGCACCAATTAAGCCACATACAATGCAAATTACATGTATTAATCTAAAGCAAAATATGCAGAAAATAGTGCTTATTGATAATACATTTAGTCTATATGTAATGCTGCATAATGCAGAAAATGACCTATAGGAAAATGTCTTGCGCCAGACTCCTATTCTGTGATGGGTTGAGATGGCCAATGAACCAGCACCCAACTACTGAGCAAGGTTTGAATCTTTAACACCTTGCTGACAGTTTTTCATGAATATGTGTATGCACTGTTAGATAATTAATGTCAGACACAGTGTTAACATTAACGATGAGCGAATGGGCGTAATATTCAAACAATCTTAACACTAATGTAATGTGAGAGTTCCACTGGGCTAAAATTTTATTTTGGGCGTGAGAATTTTCATACCTTTCTCTGATATCGAAGGGCAGATGGTGCTCAGGGCTGCCTTGCTCAGCACCTGCATGATTGTCTGGGAGGGACCCTTCCACTGGCCTCGATGTCCAGCATCCTGAGGCCACACCTCCACCACATCCACATCGGGGCACGTGGCTGGGAGAACAGAACACATGCGGAGTGCGAGGTTGCGCAGGGAAAATATATGCTACTATTACAAGTTGTCTTTTCAATACGTTTACAAATCTATGCTGTGAAACGTGATAACACATTGCATGGGGTTAACTATCAGCATTTTAACGTGGTGTCTTACTGGTTGCCATGGATTGTACCGCATCTGCACAATTTGTATACATCCGTGCAGATGTCATGTATATATGCGATGCGTTTTCATGTTAGTAGCCTTCATGAATATACAGTGATGGAAAAAAATATTTGATCCCCTGCTGATTTTGTACGTTTTCCCACTGACAAAGAAATGATCAGTCTATAATTTTAATAGTAGGTTTATGTGAACAGTGAGAGACAGAATAACAACAACAAAATCCAGAAAAACGCATGTGAAAAATGTTATGAATTGATTTGCATTTTAATGAAGAAAATAAGTATTTGACCCCTCTGCAAAACATGACATAGTACTTGGTGGCAAAACCCTTGTTGGCAATCACAGAGGTCAGACGTTTCTTGTAGTTGGCCACCAGGTTTGCACACATCTCAGGAGGGATTTTGTCCCACTCCTCTTTGCAGAGCTTCTCCAGCAACTCGAACCTTCAGCTCCCTCCACAGATTTTCTATGGGATGAAGGTCTGCAGACTGGCTAGGCCACTCCAGGACCTTAATGTGCTTCTTGAGCCACTCCTTTGTTGCCTTGGCCGTGTGTTTTGGGTCATTGTCATGCTGGAATACCCATCCACGACCCATTTTCAATGCCCTGGCTGAGGGAAGGAGGTTCTCACCCAAGATTTGACGGTACATGGCCCCGTCCATCGTCCCTTTGATGCGGTGAAGTTGTCCTGTCCCCTTAGCAGAAAAATACCCCCAAAGCATAATGTTTCGACCTCCATGTTTGACGGTGGGGATGGTGTTCTTGGGGTCATAGGCAGCATTCCTCCTCCTCCAAACACGGCGAGTTGAGTTGATGCCAAAGAGCTCCATTTTGGTCTCATCTGGCCACAACACTTTCACCCAGTTGTCCTCTGAATCATTCAGATGTTCATTGGCAAATTTCAGACGGGCATGTATATGTGCTTTCTTGAACAGGGGGACCTTGCGGGCGCTGCAGGATTTCAGCCCTTCACGGCGCAGTGTGTTACCAATTGTTTTCTTAGTGACTATGGTCCCAGCTGCCTTGAGATCATTGACAAGATCCTCCCGTGTAGTTCTGAGCTGATTCCTCACCGTTCTCATGATCATTGCAACTCCACGAGGTGAGATCTTGCATGGAGCCCCAGGCCGAGGGAGATTGATAGTTCTTTTGTGTTTCTTCCATTTGCGAATAATCGCACCAACTGTTGTCACCTTATTCATATTCTTAGTTCTTTCGGTAAAGTCACGTTGAAGGGAAACAATAAAATAATAAAATATATATAAAACAATAAAAATTCTCACGACGTTTCGACCATAACACAAACGGTCGTCATCAGGTGTGTCGGTTTGCATAAATTTATTTATTTTTAAACGGTGTATTTATTCATTTATAAAAAACCGTCAGCGCCACACGCAGCGATTTGTCAGTTTATTTAGAAGGACTAGTCCATCTATGTTCTGAAAAGAGGAGGGGGGAGACGAAAAATGTAATGTATGCTGTCTGAAAGCCACTGTAAGCGTGAACAATCAATTAAGACCTGAAATGGTTTATCAAATCTTTCCAATGATTGCTAAGCCAGAATCCATCTTCTCGGTTGAAATTGTCTCTGTGCTTGTATATGTGGATAGCCTCATGAACGAATCTCTCATGGTAGCCAGATAGCTTACATATATTTTATTATTTTATTGTTTCCCTTCAACGTGACTTTACCGAAAGAACTAAGAATATGAATTACTGCAGTCACGAAAGCTTTAAATCAAAATTTGTTGTCACCTTCTCACCAAGCTGCTTGGCAATGGTCTTGTAGCCCATTCCAGCCTTGTGTAGGTCTACAATCTTGTCCATGACATCCTTGGAGAGCTCTTTGGTCTTGGCCATGGTGGAGAGTTTGGAATCTGATTGATTGATTGCTTCTGTGGACAGGTGTCTTTTATACAGGTAACAAGCTGAGATTAGGAGTACTCCCTTTAAGAGTGTGCTCCTAATCTCAGCTCGTTACCTGTATAAAATACACCTGGGAGCCAGAAATCTTTCTGATTGAGGGGGTCAAATACTTATTTCCCTCATTAAAATGCAAATCAATTTATAACATTTTTGACATGCATTTTTCTGGATTTTTTTGTTGTTATTCTGTCTCTCACTGTTCAAATAAACCTATCATTAAAATTATAGACTGATCATTTCTTTGTCAGTGGGCAAACGTACAAAATCAGCAGGGGATCAAATACTTTTTCCCTCACTGTACATGATATCATCAGTAGTACGATTCAGGTAAAGAGGTGGGTTGACATTTTCAAAATGAAACTACCTACAGCGGTTGATTTCATACAAACATTAATTGTATTCTTAAACTTGATGTACAGAAATTCACTGAAGTGTTTCCCCCTTTGAAATTATTATTCAAAGTTTCTACAGCCCATTAGAATAAAAACATGACTATATGTAAATGTATTAAGTTCCCAACCAGGAATTATATTTCATGTGGCCCAACAGTTTACAATCTTTGTGGTATACGATAAGCACTTTAGAGAAAATAATCATATCCTCTTAATTGCTCAACAGCTGACAAATTGAAATTATAATTTGCATGTATGTAGTAGTAAATTGGCATTATGTTAATTACAGCAAACATTATGGTGAGGCTATATTGTTTGGAGAGCTCATCATTAATTCACTACATTCAAAAGTTCTTAATATATACGGGTATACCAATCTCCAATTATTTTGCTTGACTGTCTTCCTTGTACCCCATATTGCTGTCGTTAAGACCTCACCTGCATTCAAACACTCCTCAGTTGCTCTTCGGCTGTCTCCACTGTCTGGAAATTCCTCCCTCCCTCATATCATTCAGATGGCAGACTCCCTTCTCCATTTCAAATCTTAATCAAACCCTACATTGTCCCTCTTCGCATGATCGATTTTCTACAATTACAGATACTTTTAGGTGTTGTAAATGCATACTTTTCAATCTTAAACTTTTGTTCCTATTTGATCGTATACATATATAAAAAATATATACAATTTAGCTGTCAGGTGTCAATGTTTTGCATGCATATGCTCTATATATTTAACTACGACTTGGCATGCATTTTACATAAAAAACTTGTGATTTTATCAAGTACACTCTAGAGGTACTTTCACAGACACGTTTAATATGCAACGGATAATTAACCGTGGCCTTCGCAGCCTGTCGATGTGCGTAAATTGATCCACAGTTAATGTGCCATTTCACCTTCCATCTTGGATGCGGTCTCTTCAAGCTGCCCTTTGGACAAAACGTTCAGCACACAGCCGTCATCCTGAAAGGACCACTTCCTGAACTGCAGCTTTGCCCCCTCCTGGAAGGTCAGGGCGCTATTCAGCTCCGTCACCTCCTGTTATTGCCATAGCACAAAGAGAAACTCTCGCATATTGCCATTGTTTGGCAGCACCAGACTCATAAGCGTCTCTATCAAACATGCGTTGCTGTTTCTTCCTAAATGGTATGCAGATAAATGTACGAATGCTAAGTGAATTATAACATTTTGACAACAAAAACATATTTAGCAAATTGTATGGGAAATGTCTTCCTGTATCGTCAACATGTTGATGCTTTTCGGACACTAACATTTTTTGTCCCGGAGGCAGGAATTTAATTTCTCATAAGGTGATTTATCTTAATAATTGTAAATGTCTCTGTTGTAAAGTTAAAGTGGTTTCCACAGTTGTGATTTTGCTCAAAGCACTACATCAAATTATAAACAGCAATCTTTCTAAATTATATTTTACAATACACGCAATGCAATAACATCCAGTCTCGAAGCACCACAACAATCTCTGCCTATCCATTGCATTCACTGATTGCATTTAAATGTCACACTTATTCTGAGAAAACAAATTCACTGGTTATTACATACCCTTATTTATTTTATTTAAACTCAAAAGCCTTGAGAAAAGAGGAAAGTTTTTCATTTCTTCTTTTGAAATGCAGTTATTTTCAGCTCCAATCCCCAGAAGATTATTCCATACCAACTGTTCATTGCAAACTGTGTGCAATGTGTAAGCAGCACATCTGGTGTACTGCATTTTAAATAGGTGGAATGTCTTTTCTATTGAGTGAATGAAACATACAGTATGTGGTACATATCAGTACAAATTTAGTATATGTATGTGTAGATTCAAAAGGCATTTGGAAAGGCATTCAATTAATTGGAAACTGATGCAGTCATGCAGCCTGTCACAGACCCTGGCATAAGTTTACAATATATTTCGAAATACATTAAAGACATCATTATAACTGTTAAAAACGTGGGCTTTGGCAGCACACGCCACCAGAAAGGATGATGACTGATGGAGGATAATGATGGGATGGCCACCAAGGGATCAAACGCATCCAAAAGGACGTCCATAGAGCAGATGGAGCAAAAAAATCATCCCGTGCGCAAGTGCTAGTTGGATTGTTCCAACGTATGATCATAAGTAAATGGCGACGAGTTGGGGATGCCTTCATCAAGGAGTACAATGAGCACAGTTGACAATGGTGTATATTTTTAAGTTATCAGATGAGACCTGGTGTATCCAATCCATGGTATGTCCATCACGGAATATGCAAACTGTGACGCAAGCACTGGAATGTTGATGACGTTCAATTTCTGTTAGTGCAGTGTTTGGAAAATAATCATTTGTTATGTTTTTATGTGTACATTATTACAATATAGAGAAATAGCCACTGGGTTCCTAGATATGTATTAAAACCGTGTTCAAGAGGAAACAATGAGGGTCTATTAACAGCCAGGAGATGCCACACAAAGCCAAAAGGTCAACATGGCCAATTTCACTTATATTACCACACAACAATTCATCCAAGAAAGTGCCTCTTATAGCGTATGGAAAGTATGTGAAAATCATACATCCAGGTTTAAGTTTGTGAGCCATGTGATAGCTTAGGGAGAAGCGTAGCTAATACTTTCGAATCCACTGGAAAGCAGGAGTAGAATGGAGTTCACAATAAGGTATATTGTTTGGTTCGAGTGGCTGCACTCACATTATGGGTCATCTTTAATTTCCCACTTGTGGAAGAGATGTGCGCAGCAACCAGTTGCTGTTCGGAAGCAGTTGATGGAGCCACCACAATTTTATTGTCAGGACAAAGCCATGCGGAGTACTGGTGGGATCCTCGATGAGCTGTTAATTTGGAATCTCAGCAGAACTCCAGTGTTCGCCAGCAGTCCCAGATTGGTTTCCGGGATCGTGGAATGTCGACCAGGTTTTTGCAGAACGGGAGGTCTATGCTTCCTCGAAAAAAGTGCTGACCAATAATTAATAAAATAAGAAAAGCAATTTATGCGCTCTAACCCAAAAAAAATATATTATGGATGATAATGGTCGCCAAAGCCGACGTGTTAAACTTAATATATGGCAATTGTGCAAATGAACAAACCCCCTTCAGTTGTTCGAAAATGTTCCCTTTTGTCAGTGTTTTTTACAAAACATATCAATGCTTACTTATGAATAGTCTTGCAAATGGCCAATGGCATGTATTTCAGTATTTTCATCAGAATGCTAATTTGCCTCAAAATGTCTCATTTTCCATTATCCTATGCGTTCTGGGCACACCAGATTTTTTTTGAGATTTGAAATGCCACATACTTTTTTGCCAACACCTGCGTGTTAATAAAAGCTTATGGGTTATTGTTCTGCCCCACGGCAGATATGGGGGTGTGCTTACACAGGAACTTCCTGATATGATGGTGTTGAGTTTGGTCACGTGACCAGGAAGTTACGCGTTACGGGTCAGCCATTACATAGAGGACAAAATGGAGTCACAATTAGCGTCTCAGTGAAGACGGGTGCATCTGTTTATTGCGAGACTTTAAGAAGCATTGTCTGTAAGTTCGTTTATGTTCTTATAATACTGGGAATGCTGTTATAATGTTAGGATTGCCGTTATAATGCTGTATATGCCTTTATAATGCTGTTAAATTGTTATGATGAATATGGGGCCTAGTTAACAATGAAGCCTGCCAATTGCATTATTGTGAATGTTATTTGTAGTTGGATAAGTCGAACCAGACTTGTGCCCATGTAATTTTAATGCGTTATTGAGAGCAAGGATGAAGAAGTATCTCATCCACAGTTCAGTGTTATGTGTAGCGCTGTACATTTGGGTTGCAGTATGGTGATTACACAAAGTGACCTTATTTAACACAGTAGCTTATTCTCTTGTTATATAGCTATTCAGTGCTAATGTAGGTGCCTGGTCCATCCATGACCTATTGTTGAGATTCATGTTATCTAAGACAATGTTATGATGCTGCAGTGTTCATTCATTGTATTGATATTGCAAGTATTAACATAAGCTGTATTTTGTGCTGTTTTCCCATCAGTTTGACCTCGTTCTAGCCCTGGCTCTGAAGGTTTATTTAATGGATGGATAACGACTCGGATAGTGGTGCAACGCAGCGCACTGCGAGGCCGAGACAGTTATACCAAATTCCATTATTCTGCAAAAGTTGGAGTATATAAGGCAGGTGGATATCCAAATATTGGTGATGTCCCAAAAGCATAATACAATGCATTTTAAAATCTTTTCACAGCTTGGTTTATCAAAATGAAAAGCGTGTCTCGTGGAATGGTTTAATAAAGTGAGGATCAACTGTACGATCTCTTGAATTGTACCTAAAGGGGTTATTTTAACAGCAAACTCATCGTGAATAATAAAAACCCTGCAGGGGAATTTTGACGTGCGTACCTTAACCTATGTTGGAAACTCATCATACTGCCAAAACTCCTACGGAACTAATGGTTCCATTACATGCATTGCAACTGTTTGGAAGCCATCACAGCTGCACACAATACACATAAAATATATTTAAATGTAGCACGTGCCTTTATGCAAAACTTAAGGTTGAGCATGTAACATCCCGTGAATGTTTGCATTTGTGAAAAACACAGGATATTACTGCATTTATTCATATGTAAACTGTAATATCTTATACCGGTGTTTTGACCAAAATTATGCTTGTTTATATCGTTAGATGTTGGTATTAATGTATTACATGCACATTCATGACATTTATGAGCTTTTGTGAAATTAATGCGCATGTTATTGCACACGGCTGTATATTACATGGTGTGTAGGAATCTGAAAATGAATCTGTGCAAACATGTCCATTCATACACATTCATTCATATGCCGTAGAACGGGTGCCTAGTGGCTTGCACAATTGGCTAAAATACAGTAAATAGCACTCATCGCCATATAATTGGGAAATTATATGATAAAAAATCACATTCGTTTCATCTTACAATTACTCCCAGGTGATTGGCGACACAATGATAGTAAATTTACAGCAAGATCGAGCTAGTTGAACTTGAAAATAACATAGGGCCACTTAATGTACGAAATGTACTCCAATTATACAGAAAATATACGGCATATCCTCGGGGGGGGGGGAGCGGTGGTGGCAAGGTATGTCAGCAGGTGGGACACCAGATGGTCCATCACATTAATATATTTTCATTGTATAATAAAGTAATGCATGTCAGCTTATGTTTTGCAATTTGACTAATTGAATAGAGAACATATTGTAAAGACGATGCAACCTTCATGCTAGACTACAGTTCTTCAGTGAATAGATGAATTGTGAAGAGGGGAATGCTGCAACGGAGGGACCCAAAAAAAATTCAGGTGTAATGGATATTCCTCTTCGAAAAATTCAACAGACTATAATCTACACATTTAACTTATCAGATTTTATACTATAATAATGTAAAAATAAATTTGTCAGATTTTTAACTCATTAACAATTAATGTGAGTATTTCTAGAATTATAGTATATAACCACATATGAATCACATATCTTGAACTGAGAGTGAACGAAACTAAAGCATATATGCATATAAATGTGGCATACATTTCAGTCTCTAACTGTGCTTTGAAAACTAGACACTAAATGAGCCAATTAACAAATGATAGACATGGAATTTCAAAATGAATAGCACTTTAAAACTGAACTACCAATAGTTATATCAACTAACATGGCTCTAGTTAGAGCTGACAAATCAACCATATTTATACCCACGTAAAAATATTCCCCCAAAACCAGGTGCTATTTTTGTGTGCCGAGTGATTACCTCTGGGGTTACGTGATTGAGCTCTCCCTCATTTAAATCCCTGTGCAGCGGAATCTCAAATGCTAACTGCAGGAACAGACAAGAAACATCACATGCGGCGCATTGCACATTAATCCACATTGTTCTTTTGACCTAAAGACATGGGCACATTTGATATATACTGAAGCTTACGTGACCAAGCACAATATTAGAATTGCATAGGAAATATATTGCTATATTGAAATAATATACGCAGTGGGTAGAAACTTAGCAAAACAAATAATATAACATAAATATACATTTTAACGAGTTTTGTTTGGGAAAATGTGGTGTGCCTGTTTTAATTTCTTGCACGTAAAATATATACTAAAAGTATTTAAACCATCAATATTATATATAATATATACTGAATAGACGTTAAGTTCATACATTTGAATATTAATTTAACATGCGATATCATTGCAAACTGATTTTGAATTTGAATGTAACTTTTACGTCACATCTCTTCAAAGACAATTCAAGCGTTTATCATAAAAAAATATGTAGTCTACCATTTACAGACTTCGAAACACAAATGTATGCAATATTCATGGAGAAACCACATATTTGGCTAATCCTCCTGAAAGTCATGTTTCACAGACGAACATTACCTTCATTCCTTTACACTTCTCCTTGTTGGCTCTTCTCTCATTCCTGTTCTGCAGCAAGATTTTCCGATAGTCTTCCCTTGCTATGGGATCCTAAAATACAATGTGGTGTTACACCGCTCTGTCAGTGTGCTTTAGTTTGCTGCCCTTCCCCCATCCCTCCGATTCGCACGGTTGGCTATAATACGATGCGAAAGAAGTTCAACATACATACGTGCAAGATACAACGAGTGACTATGTATGTTAAACTTGCTTTGTAACTATCACCAACTTGTCCTGGGCACAACAATATGCATGACTTAAGCTGAGAATAACTGTCATGTACAATTCGTTTCACAAGAACAGATTACTAAGCACACTAACATGCTGAAATATACATTTTTAATTCTGTGGCCTATGTCTTATGTGGCGACAGCAAATTATTTCCTTAAAAATTAATGGCCTGTATGTAAACATTGTAGCGAACTATAGGGAAGTAATAGATATCTGGCATAATTGGCAACAAGGGGTTGAACCAAGCATTGAAACTCTTCTCAAAAACAGGACATGTCTAAATCACGTTTGCAAGCTGTCACTTGCATTTATGGGTGGTCCATGTGTGCTACAAGATCAGGAAACTTTTACATTGGGACAGTTGCAATGCAGAAGATGCACTTCTCAGTCTGCCTTTTGTAAAACTTCAACATTAGAGATCCATGCGAGAGGTTTACAATGCATGGGTTAGACAAATGTCAACCGTGTATTTTGATGTGCAGCAGACCCTGCAAAGTGTTCGCCTCACCTTCTCATAGTTGAGGTTCTTGGTTGCGTCAGCAGGTGGTGCTGCAGGTGGGGCCTTCTTTACACAGTGGTTCTCATGAACAGGAATCTTTAACACGATCGGAATACAGGGCCATATCACAATCAGTGAAACTCGATGGGGAAGGGGGGGAAGGGTGGCGTCGAGAGTGAAAACTACAACTGAGTTTAACAATCGGTAAAAACAGTGTTAAATGTTTTAGACTTAATTTAGCTATATTCCACCTATGAGAACTAAACATATTGGTGACTGTCATGTGACAGACATTACTATCTCAATGAATCAATTGCACTGTTTTATTCTGACATGAGCAAGTGAATTACCATGACCAGTACAGCCAAACTAATATCAGGGGCATACCAATAACTGAGTGCATATAGTACATGCAGTATTGAACAACTGTGTTCTGTATAGTGATGTTTTTTAATTTACGTAAGAGCTTCTCACTTTGTTCCATCAGCCAAAATTACTGGTCATGCCCTCGTTAGTGACACCTCCGTGAGCCATACCTCTTGCTTGTCACGATTGCGAGATGCCCAGGGATTCCCCCTCTCTTGGACCTTCCCACCTGGTCCCATGCCAGCTGGCACGAGTCGCCAGCGGTCGCCTTCGCCTGATGCCGGTCGAATGCCCTAAGGTGGGCGCAGCATCACTATCACCACTATGACCATTCTTTAGCTTTCGCAATTCCCTTCGTTGTCTTAAAATAAAAAATAAATTTGTACACCTGTGTAAATCGGCCAACATTAAAGAATAATTTGTAAAAGTGTCCTTTCGTTCATGAAAGCTATTGTAATAGTCATTGTCTTTTACTGTTTTGTTAACACAGGTGAAGCATTTTATAACTTTCAAAACAAACTCTTTGGATCTTTCGGTAAAGTAATTTCTTTCATTTCATTTTTTTCATAATTTTTCTATCTACGTGACTTTACCGAAAGACCCAAAGAGTATGAATTCCTGCAGTCACGAAAGCTTTGAGTCAAGATTTACAAACAAAATTGATGGATAAGTGTGCAAGTTCATGAAGTTTAACAAAACCAATTAGAGTGAAGTGGACTGACCATTCGTTCAACCTGGTCTTGCATTCCTCAATAAAGTATCTCTAATTATGCATTAAAAGTTACTTTGTAGTTAGCAAATTAAATTAGGAATGTGATTAGCAAGATGCATTTCCTAAATTACTCATTATTTTTTCAGATGACAGACTTTATCTTCACAAAATTCCCTAGCTATATATATAGCATGCTCATTAGAATTGGTGTTTTTTCCCTATTTTAATGGAGTGTTTATAATAGATATGCAGTACTATCATGTGAACCCTTTATGTTCAATGCAAATATCTCTTACTATGAAAGATGATGTTTATATTACAACAACAAAAATATTTAATTGGCTTGAAAATAGGCTCTTTTTTAAGTCCACTGTGAAAGTGAAAAGCACTGCTGACTGTTGAACACATTTTATAAATCCTTTGAGATGTACATAAGCACAGATTTCAATTTGTGGCTAAAGAGAAATTGGCTAGAAAATAAAGTATGCGATATTTGTGGTATACTGTACTTGCATGTATGAGCATCATATGGACCCATACCACCATGGTGAACTAGATGACACCTTTTCTAAAGTATACGCAATTATTTTAGTTTTTAGGTCAGCAGCAGTGCATTAATGAGTTCAAATCATGTTTTGGTGAAGTTACAGCACAATGTGGCTCATGTTGTACACCTATGTCTTGAACAGCCATAAATCTCCAATTTAAAACACAACTGCACTCATTAAAAGTACCTTAGTTTTTTTTAAAGAAGGCAAGGGACATTGCTTGTTCTCATGTACATGTGCTGTAAATCAAAGGTGTTCATTACGCGGTAGTTCTAAAGCTCATGTGCCGCTACGGTGCCTGCTTGCTGTTCTATAAAGGCGCAAACCAATTACGGGGCAACATGAAAAATGAGTGTCCATGGCAGCAAAATCAAAACAAAGGCCCTCGGAGGTGAATCGTAACCCCCAACTTGATAAACAGGGTTGGGTAAATTGACAACGCACAGAATAAGAAACATAGGCGACAAACCGACCTGGGGGTACCAGCAACATATTTACGGTATATTCTTCACTTACAGTGTTAAACGAACATGGATACAAATATAAATTTGGACAAAGAGACGACTGGATTAAAATAATATTTTAAAAGCAATGTTTCGCAATAAAACACATTCGTGAAGAGGATCTACGCTCATTATTATGGAAAAATAACTACACTGACATGCATGAATGCCTCCCCAACGTGACTGAATCTCCAGATATAGGTTACCGTATTAAACTAAAAAAAGGTGCTCATTCCAAAATATTGCACATATTACGAAGCTCAGTGTGCAAGTAATGCAATGTCAACTGCTATATATTTAACTATGGCTGCATCAATTAAATTTCAACGTTAACTTTCAAGAGGTTACTAAAATAGACACAACCCATCCAAAGATGTATATTATACACGTGTGATGTATACATGTCTTGCGCTTCATTTTGTTTAAATAGTTGCTGTGAAATTCTGCATTTGAATTGACATTTACGAACGGTATTAACATGTTTAAAATGAAATTCCCTTCATCAACACGGTTAATCTATAAAGTGTATCACAAGAGGATTGCACTATTTTCATTAGCATTACTCATAATTACAAGAAAGTATTAGCGTTTTAATTACACATAGTTCATCAAACACTGTGTGTACTCAGATCGCCCATGAAATAGAATATATATAAATGGGCTCTTCACCTAGTTCGAAGGACATGGTCCAATGCACTTCAATTCAAAAGTGCCAATCTCAATAAAGTACTTGCTTTGTATTCACATGTGTCCCTCACTCACATACCAGCTGTTTTTCCACTCTCAGCTTGTTCCGGCAGGCCTCCTGTTTCCGCAAAAGATACTCCTCCTGGCAGAAATCAGCCAGTTTCATTTGCAGTCTCTCGTGCGCCCTAAAATCGCACATGGCCAATTCCACAGAGCTGTTTAGTTGAGTTACTCACAACATAACTATTATTCCTTTTTCTTCTTTGGTTCTTTCGGTAAAGTCACGTATAATGAGAATAAAATAATAAATTGATAAAATAAAATAACACAATAATAATTGTGAGAATATTATTGTGTTATTTTATTTTATCAATTTATTATTTTATTCTCATTCTACGTGACTTTACCGAAAGAACCAAAGAAGATGAATCATTGCAGTCACGAAAGCTTTAAATCGAAATTTATTATTCCTTTTGAAAAGTGTTAATTGAAACATACAATTACATTACATGAAAACCACAGTGTTTCCACAACACTCCTCTCCAACGGTGGTCACGAGCCAGTGGTGAAACTTTCCCATCCCTACAGTGGGGGGCATTCTCACCATATGAGAGATGTAACATTTAAAGCAATAACAGCAAGAAACATAATTAAAATGTATTGGGTACTGCCTTTGTTATCTACCAGGCCATGTAAAGTGGCAATGGTGAATGGTGGAGTATCAATAGCTTAAATGCACAGATGGGCAGTTCAGTGCACCTTGTTATACAATGCAGAAATGCTATTAAACTATTTGACATGTATTGCTTTGTGGAAGATTAGTGCAAGGGGATTTGCTCTTACCTAGGCAGACAGGTCTTTAGTCATAAAATTACATGTTAATAAGTGGGTAGTGTTGCAAATTTGACATAATAACCCACACAAATAAGAGTAAATATCTGCTCAAGGTCCAGGAATATTTTAGTCCACAAAATTACTGCTCAACAAGATTTCACTACTATTTTTTTTATTTCAGGTGATTTTTCCTACATGTTTGCCTTAAATGTAACCAAATATTATGACATTTAACATTTTAAATTGACATTGTCCAAACATATCTCAAGATGCTTTACAGGAGACTGAAGTTATAATGATCGTTAAAATACACAAGGAGTTCCAATGGTCCAAGACAGTACAATACATAAAACATGTGATTATAAGCAAAATTTCATCAGCAGAGGAGAGAAGGGAGGTATTGAGTAAGATTTTGAATGAAACGAGCAATATATAATTAACTAAAATGTATTTAATTGTACAAGTGAATAAAGTCCTCTACATATAACTCCAAAAAATCAGGTTAGACATATGTTAGAGGATTTAAAACGTATGCTTTCGCGATCAATATCCATAATATAAGTTTTTTGGGTTAGAGCTGGTGAATATTAATGTCGTTAAACCCACCATCATCCGACAGCCAATTATTAATGTTTGTCACGTAAACGGAACATGCCAATTCGTTACTAGTACGGCGTACCGGTATGTTGGAGAGTAAATCCAATTGTAAATATTGTGGCTGTGTCGGGTGGTGGCGGTCTTAAGGACACATTTATATTTACGCGATTTAAGCCAAAACACCTCTTATCATGGATAATATTGGACGCAAAAGCCTACGTATTAAGAAGTGCACTTATTTATCTTCACTTTAGATGGGTGGCTATTATTGTCATCTTAACATTTTTGTTACAATAAGTAGTGTATTTAGTCATGTATTTATATCCAGAATGGCATCAATGAATCTCATGACCTGCTTTCAAGAGTTCCACAATCGGATGTTTAATACATTCCGAAATGAGTAATTATGCACGTGGGAAGAAAACAGAGTACTCGGAGAATGCTCAAGTATACGAGGTTACAACACTCAAAAAAAGAACTACATAGGTAAGCAACCTACCTGCTGTGCTGCCATCTACTGGCCAACTTTTCCTTGTGCAGATTTGGAGTCTCATGCACTTCTGATTATGTGCATGTTCCATCCTCTCAAGCATACGCGACCGTACCCAGCTATATTGTGTCACTGCTTCACGTTTACCGTCCAGGAGGGTCTTGCTCTCGTGGGCCCGACTCAAAGCACGGGGGACGCTGCTGCAGGAGATCCAGCTGTGCATGGTAGTAGGCATATTTGGCCCGTTGGCCATCCGTCGGCGGAGAGTCCACCCTCTCAATAAATGGTTTGGCATCGATACCCATGCATCGGGCTTCCATCGCCTGGGCGGCCAATACATTTCGCTTTGGCAACAACAATAACAACAAAAGTGATTTCTTGCTCAAATTAACATGGAGATGGTACTCATCTGTTTATATCCCTAAGCCAGTGGTGAATGTTCCTCAATCTTATGGCAGGGGCTGGTATATTTATAAGGCAGGCATTGTTGCCTTCCCCAGAAAATGGACCACAGAGAGATTATGGACTGAGTCAACCCCTAACAAGGATTTGAATTCACAACCATCCAATTTCAAGCTGCTTGAACTATTCTCTAGCCACCAGGCATGTTGCTTCGGCATCACCTGTACAATATACGGTAAATCCTCTCAAAGCCAGACTCGTGGAATTTAGAATATTGGATGAGCTGGAAAGACTACCAGAAAATAATGAAATAAATTACACAAAAATAATCCAACTGAAACACTGTTGGCACGCTAATTACGCTGCGGAGGTAGGATATGGTGTTCTACTGTCCATCTGCATCCAGATGGACGGAAGGAAAGCCATTAAAATACATTACTTTTACCTGTGAACTGAGCTGATTGAAGTTGGTTGCAGCTTGTGGCCTCAGTTTATAAAAAGCAGGCAACTTTAGCAGGCAACTTTAGCTCAAGCATCCCAGTTTTAGGCAACATTTGCAGGTAGTTTGATTTTATTATTTAATGATGATGAAGGTGGCTTAGCGCTGGCTATGCCAAAAAACACAATCCCATCTATGTATGTATGTTGAACTTCTTTTGGGCCGTATATAACTAACCTTTCCAATCGGAGATTAGCTTCCAAAAGACGAGGACAATTATTTGGCAACAACCTAGCGCTCGTACTTTATTTTCTGATATTATCAATTAGGCACCTCTAAATGTAATTTGAAAAATGGAAACCCGAGGTCGCTTTTTGGCACTATATATAGTTAAAAATAAACAGTAATGTGATGCAAACAAAAATGCATCAAAGGAAACCTATTGAGAGATATTGGTAAGAATACCTTTGCTTGAGCAGAGGGAGGCAAGGGAGGGTTGATGACAGCATGAGACCACGGTGGCCTCTGCTTCCTCACAGCAGGGGACACCGCTCTGTCTGCTACCACCTTCCTGTGCACCTGGGCCACTGAAGGATTGGCACGAGGAGCTTTTCCTGCTGAAATATGAATCAAAACATTGATTACATATTCTTGGTTCTTTCGGTAAAGTCACGTTGAAGGGAAACAAAATAATAAAATATATATAAAACAAAATTCTCACGACGTTTCGACTGCAACACAAGCAGTCATCATCAGGTGTGAAAACCAACGGCAAGAACATTTGAAAGAAGTGGCGGTTTGTATTTATTTTTAAACGTTAGCACCACGGATAGCGATTTGACAGTTTGTTTAGATGGACGAGTCCATCTATGTTCGGAAAAGAGGAGGGGGGAGATGAAAAATTAATGTATGCTATCTGAAAGTCACCGTAAGCGTGAACAATCAATTAAGACCCGAAATGGTTTATCAAATCGTTCCAATGATTGCTAAGCCAGAATACATCTTCTCGGTTTAAATTGTCTCTGTGTTTGTATATGTGGATAGCCTCATGAACGAATCTCTCATGGTAGCCAAATGGCTTGCAAAGAACCTCTGTCTTGGAGAAGTCAATGTCATATGAACCTACTGAATTATAACAGTGATCTGCCACGGCCGAGGTGTTGCTCCTACCGTGTTTAAGGTCTGCTTTGTGTTCACAAATGCAGTCCGAGACATGTCGTTTGGTTTTTACAATGTAACTACTACCACAGAGGCAACTTAGTTTGTAGACACCAGGGTACTGGTGTATGGAATTGTTGTGGTCACCATCAGATTTACCATTGAAGTTTAAAAAGATGGCAAGCTACCTTTTTTGTATGTCCTAATAAAAAAGAGACCTAATGGTAAATGAGCCACTGTCTACAGGAAAGCTACCCATACGGATGCTTATCTGAAACCGGATTCCCACCACCATCCATCCCAGAAGAACTCCCTCATCAAGACTCTATACCATAGAGCCCAATGCATATCCGACCAGGAACACATAGACAGTGAACTCAAGCACGTACACCAAGCTCTTAAGGCTAATGGTTACAATCAACAAAGCTATCACTCAAACCATGAAGAAGGACCCTCTTGAGGAGCCTTTCAAAACCATCACTTTACCCTACATTGCGGGGATCACAAAAAAGATCTCCAAAATATTGAATGAACACAAGATCCAGGTCCGTTTCAACACATTACATAAAATCCGTGATCTGGTTCCGTCTGTAAAAGATGTGATTCCAGACATACAGTACCCTGGTGTCTACAAACTAAGTTGCCTCTGTGGTAGTAGTTACATTGGAGAAACTAAACGACATGTCTCGGACCGCATTCGTGAACACAAAGCAGACATTAAACACGGTAGGACCAACACCTCGGCCGTGGTAGATCACTGTTATAATTCAGTAGGCTCACATGACATTGACTTCTCCAAGACAGAGGTCATTTGCAAGCCATCTGGCTACCATGAGAGATTCGTTCATGAGGCTATCCACATATACAAACACAGACAATTTAAACCGAGAAGATGGATTCTGGCTTAGCAATCATTGGAAGGATTTGATAAACCATTTCGGGTCTTAATTGATTGTTCACGCTTACGGTGGCTTTCAGACAGCATACATTAATTTTTCGTCTCCCCCCTCCTCTTTTCTGAACATAGATGGACTCGTCCATCTAAACAAACTGTCAAATCGCTATCCGTGGTGCTAACGTTTAAAAATAAATACATACAAACCGCCACTTCTTTCAAATGTTCTTGCCGTTGGTTTTCACACCTGATGATGACTGCTTGTGTTGCAGTTGAAACGTCGTGAGAATTTTATTGTTTTACATATATTTTATTGTTTCCCTTCAACGTGACTTTACCGAAAGAACCAATAATATGAATCACTGCAGTCACGAAAGCTTTAAATCAAAATTGATTACATAATTGCATTTGATCTATTATTGACATACATGCATCGGCTCTTAAAGTACTGGTTAGAAGTTTAGAAACTGCAACAATTCCAGGTCAGGAATATGTTGAGGCTTCATTTCTTGTTGTAACTGAAGTGGGATTTACCCAAGACTTTCACGTTTTTGTTTACTCTTTATAAGGCACAAATGGAAGCCGAGGACAAGACTTTAACCTAACGTGTCAAACAAAAGATGACTTTTTTTTAAATCATGATACCCTATCGGTACACTATATAGATACACTATAGGGTATCAGGTTATCGATATTTATATTGTGCACCGAAATATGCATTATGCAACAAGTTACAGAACTCTTTCATTATTTAAAAACAAAAATGCTTGTTGAAAATTTAAATGTTAATTGTGCGATTTTCATTACGTTAAGAAATGCATTTTCCTATTCTTTGTGGCACATCCTAAAAGCTGAAACCTCTGGGTTAAGTACTGTGCATTGCATTCATTACAGAAGTAACAGCATTAAACATTTAGTAATTATCTTCCACGTACATGTTATTATCAATGATCATGATGAATGCATTGTAAGACATTAATAGCCTTTGAGCATTTACGTGTGAACTAGGTGCGTACATTTTTTTTACACTTAAAATGGAATTGTGGCTTCACAATGTAGGTGTCACAGTACATGTGAGCTTTGCCTTGTTGTGCCAACTTTGATCGTTGCCCAGACACAGCCTTCTTGCTGTGTATCACAGTGTGACTGAACTCTTCATTGTATAGCTGCAAATTGCACACACGCACGAATATTCACCAAGCATTAATATGCAGTGTGCATAGTGCGGAGAGCAATTTTACACACTAAAAATGTGACATGCATTCATGTGCAAATTACAATGCCTTAAAGTAACTGTGGTAGGTTATTTACATATGCTAATGGTTTATAGTGATTTAATGAAGTAACGCGATATGATTTGCATCACTGATTAATTCATTACATTTTAACAATACTCACCATATGTTTGTAAAATAATAGTTTGTTGCTTGTATTGCAATATTTAATATCGGTATAACATGTTCCATTGAATGAATGTTTTATGCCTGTCTATCTTAATGTCCTCCTGGAATTCTGATTAAATTATATATTTCAATAATGTTTTATAACTATTGCATACCAAATTTCTAGATTACAAACAAATACAGATTAATAAGCATATAATATATTAACTACATGTACATATCAACAGGATGCACATGTAAGTGAAATTCAAATACAATTGCTTATTTCAATGTTCGTAGAAAAATTGTTAGCATGCTACACTTTTGGTAAATACAAAAACACGGTTTATCCTAACCTAATACTAACCTGCAACTATAAAACAATACGATAGTTAAAGTCATTGGATGCATATTACGGTAAAGTGTATGCATAACCTGTTACTAAATCTACATGCAAGGCAGGCAGAGAAAACATAGCTCTATGGGATAATGCAAAAAAGACTTTGCTCCAGCGCTATACAGCATAGACAATTGACACAGAGCCATAGTAGCGTACTGGACTACCAATGTAACGGTACAAAATGTAGCAAGCACTGTTGTACATTTAGGGTAGTAAATAACTTGAAAGAGATATATTTTAACATGTAAAACTATGACAACATTTTTGTCTCCCAGGTTATCGGCCTTTTGGACGGATGTTTTCCAGCACCCTTTATTTAAACAGGAAAACTCTGAACTGATTTCAACTTTCTAAGTATCATTAGCATTGTGTGTACTGTAAGCACACCTCTGGTCCAAGAAACTTCTGGATACGGCTGGAAAGGAAGCATTTGCACAATATGGTGTTGATTGAGGGTCTGTTCCGAGGGTTTGTCTTGAGCATCTGGGCCAGCACGCTGCGGATATCATAGGAGTATCGGGATGATAAGGGTTTGTAGGAGCCCTGGCAAATTTTCATCACCAGGTGGCGGAGACTGTTGCCCTCAAACTGAGTGCAAGTGAGAGAAACGCAAAAGAACAAAGAATGCGATATGAAAATGGGGACAATGATGTTTTTTAATGTAATGAAGACCTATCTGAAATAGCAATCCTATTGACACTAAATAGTGACAAATTACTTACACAGAGAGTTTATTCTGCCAAAATGTGTTTAAAGGGTGCGAGGTACACCCGCTTATGGGTATCTCATCATGCCATGCCCCTGCCGTGAGCTCTCCCCTCCCTCACACACCTCTCCCCAATAGCACGCACCTATCTGGTGTATGGTTTTAAACTGGGGCACCCATCATACATTCGGCTTTTGGAAAAAGGTATAGCAGATATACAGCTACGTGGGACAAAAAGCTGAATTACAATAATATAAAAAATTTGAATGTATGTAGTGCCGTAACTCCAAATACTCCAATTATAGGGTCAAAGGTCAAATTTATTTGGAATTTTTACCTCATTCTCATACACTACATATCTTAAGCTTTAAAACGACACCTCGTTGATTTAAATTGGTGGGGAGTCTAGGAGCCCTCCATACATACATCCATACAGATTAGCGTACTTATTTGATAAATACAGATGTAATCTTATTTGCATTTTTTTCTTTACTATATAATGTATGGAGATCCAAATTATGTCCCTGCAAATTAGCATAAGACAATGCTCATTTTCTGAAACAGGAATGGAAATTCGACATATCTATGGAGGGGGGGGGGGGCAATCTTTTCATTTCCGTTCCACAAACTGATAAGACATTTATAATGATAGTACACGACCAAAATCTGGTAGCAGTTTTCAACAAAGTTAAATAAAACCATCCACATGCATTACTTTTAATAATAATTTCGAGCCCTTTGTTAATCCACTGTTGGATGAAGGCCTCCCTCCATGATGTCGCCCATGGGAGTTGTTTGACCATATTTAACCACACTGGTCAATGCGAGTTAGTGAAAGAGCGGCATAGGGGGTGGCCTGGAATAGCACAGATAACACTCACCATTGATGATAGCCATAGTCACAAATATAAATCCGGCTGACAGCTTCATAGCGCAGTTTGCTAACCACGGTGTGACTAGCCCACCCCATTATTTTTGCATACGAATAATTTTCTAACACAAATGTACCATCATATTAGATCATTAGTACATAAATGTGGCATTCTATTTGGTGTACTGTTAGATATTTGCTCAGTTATTATTCAATCGTGTAAGAGTGCGATGTAAAGCTGTATTGTACATACGTACAGGGTGGTTCAGGGTGCACAGTTCATATAGAACACAGCCCAGAGACCAGATGTCACTGCAATTTAAACAACACGATGTCACTTCATGCACAATTTTAATACACACGTATCTACTGAAAGCTATTTGTTCTTCATTCACAAGAGGCACATATTCTTGGTTCTTTCGGTAAAGTCACGTTGAAGGGAAACAATAAAATAATAAAATATATAAAACAATAAAATTGTCACGACGTTTCGACTGTAACACAAACAGTCATCATTAGGTGTGACAACCAATGGCAAGAACATTTGAAAGAAGTGGCGGTTTGTATTTATTTATTTTTAAACGTTAGCACCACGGATAGCGATTTGACAGTTTGTTTAGAAGGACGAGTCCATCTATGTTCAGAAAAGAGAAGGGGGGAGACGAAAAATTAATGTATGCTGTCTGAAAGCCACCGTAAGCGTGAACAATCAATTAAGACCCGAAATGGTTTATCAAATCCTTCCAATGATTGCTAAGCCAGATTCCATCTTCTCGGTTGAAATTGTCTCTGTGTTTGTATATGTGGATAGCCTCATGAACGAATCTCTCATGGTAGCCCGATGGCTTGCAAAGAACCTCTGTCTTGGAGAAGTCAATGTCATGTGAGCCTACTGAATTATAACAGTGATCTGCCACGGCTGAGGTGTTGGTCCAACCGTGTTTAAGGTCTGCTTTGTGTTCACGAATGCGGTCCGAGACATGGCGTTTGGTTTCTCCAATGTAACTACTACCACAGAGGCAACTTAGTTTGTAGACACCAGGGTACTGTATGTCCGGAATCACATCTTTTCGTCTCCCCCCTCCTCTTTTCCGAACATAGATGGACTCGTCCTTCTAAACAAACTGTCAAAATAAATAAATACAAACCGCCACTTCTTTCAGATGTTCTTGCCGTTGGTTTTTACACCTGATGATGACTGTGTTACAGTCGAAACGTCGTGAGATTTTTTATTGTTTTATATATATTTTATTATTTTATTGTTTCCCTTCAACGTGACTTTACCGAAAGAACCAAGAATATGAGTCCCTGCAGTCACGAAAGCTTTAAATCAAAGAGGCACATAATTGCTGGTTCAAAAACATAAAATAATTATCCTAAAATGTGCAAAACGTATGTGGCACAGGCAAGTTGGAGAGCTCGTGTTAAGCCAAGCAGAACATTCCCATTTATATTAGGCCTGGCACACTAACTACACAACCAGAGAGGAATTCACAAATATCACAAAGAGCAGTGACTGGTGGAAAACTTTAGATTTGTGCAGCCTCAGTGTAAACCCACATGTGGGATTTGGTACACTTACCATCCCTGCACCAAAACGTGTGCTGATTGATTTAATTGTGGTTCCCAATAGATGCTTGAGTAACCAGTGATAGATTTTAGATAGCATTAGCAAAGTGCAACTATGTACCAAAACAATAGTCTCAGTATATGGGAAAAAAACCTAAAACATTTAAATATAGAGAATCTTAATAGAAAAAAAATGGATATACTTCCAAGTGACCTAATTTTTCCCAGTCTTTTATTAGCCTCTTTGGTTTGAGGACTTGCCTTTTATTGTTGTAGGGGCAGTTTTCACAGATTTCTGGCGAGAGGTAGTAAGGGGTACCTATGCACGTGCGTGCCAGCTCCATTGTGCTGCAGGGAAAACGTAAAACCAGGATATTAATAAATTACTCGGACTAAGCCTCCCTAACAAGAACAACATGAGCACCAAGCACATTCAAAAACATGCTTAAGCGGAAACGTTGCCCAGTATTATTTGGTGACATTTTGTGTGTGAACAGCTATTTCCATCATTAAACATGCTGTATCCTATTGAATAGGCTGGCACTACTAAAAATCAGAATAACAGCTGTTTTATCACAATGCACAAATATTGTTGAAATAGCATTGCTGATATATCCATTTTAAATATTACTTCCTTATAATTAGGGTCAGAATACTGAACAATCTTCGTTTTCCCTTTGGATTGACAAATTTAATACACATCCTTTGCACTGGCACGCACAGCAGACTTTTTTTTATATAGACATTATATAGACATAGAAGCGTGGCATCGCTATTGGTGATTAAAATACTAAACAGAAAAACTGTGTGCATGTGAAAGTGGTAGTGTAGCGGAAAGCGCACTGCGCTAAGAACCCGGCGACCCAAGTTCGGTTCCCACTCGCAGCCAACACCAGTGATGGTTATCTGAACCGGTCCTGGGTCTCCCTTAGGTCGAATCAGCCTCAAATGAGTACCTGTTGCGGTGTGTAAACATCACCACTTGGGAGACAAAGGCGGTCGGGCATGGTGCTGGGCACCCACCCCCTCGTGTACCGTTCCGGCCTTCATAGGTGCTTGCTAACAACACTTGCCCCAGCAGTCTGTTAAAGCCTATACGGGGCATCGTTGCCTTTGCATCGCATCTCAGTATATGCACTAATTAATTTTTTGTATGCACACTCGATTTAGTATAATACATGCATCAGCACAATGGTATATGTATATTAATGCATGTACATAACTTCAAGCACAATATCACAACAAGCAGATGTCTAAATAAACAAGCACAAAGATATGACTCATTACAACGAACATTATTTTTTATTGTCTTTTTATGCTAAGTACAGAATCCCCATCGGCTGTTGGTTATCAGACAAACATTCTGTATCTGTGTATAGCATTACTAGCGAGTCTTTGTTTGATAAACCACACCTAAAGTCACTAAATGTGTACTATGCTGCTAAAATAGCATTTGTGTTCAGGAAGAAAACACAAGAAAAGGTGTGCAATAAATAGAAGTATACAACAGTTATGTGATTGCTATACTTAGTGAGAATCCGGGCGATTCCAAAGTCCCCAAGCTTGATGGATGAATTGTTGTTGGTAAGGAAGATATTCTGGAAAGAATTAAAATAATTAAAATATAGGCTTGTCTCAATAATTATAATGTTAGTAATATCTTGACTTAAAGCTTTCGTGATTGCAGGAATTCATACTCTTTGGGTCTTTCGGTAAAGTCACGTAGATAGAAAATTAATAAAAAATCACGACATTTCGATCGCAACACAAGCAATCGTCTTCACAAGTGAAAAAATACAGCAGGCGGACTGCTATTTCTTCCTGCCTCAGCAGTCCGCCTGCTGTATTTTTTCACCTGAAGACGATTGCTTGTGGTGCGATCGAAACGTCGTGATTTTTTATCTTATTTTTCCATCTACATGACTTTACCGAAAGATCCAAAGAGGATGATAGTAATGTAGGGTTTTTAAACAAAAACAATAATACTCATACATAATAATAATAAGACGACCATATTACGTGATACCGTTTTGGCATTTAATAGTGTGCGAGGATACAGTCAAAGAATATCTGGCATACGTTAGGTTATATTTGAAACGTCATCTTTATGCAAATTGCAACAAGTGCAGTTTATTATGGGCAGACGAGCAAAAATATAAATGTGAGCCCCTGCACAACATTTACATCCTGTTATTAAAATAATTTGTCCTCCCATCTTACAAGAGCCAAGACGCCAGGTGTGGTGCCTAATGCTGTGATAATTGACACTGCATGAACTATTACCGGTCGGGTTAATTTTGATGAAATGGCGATGTGCAATGCACGATTCATAATGCATTAGCACAACCTGCATACAATGTGCATTCTTAACCTAGCCTACAGTGTTTTGTACCTAGGGGTTCATTGCATAAAAATACTTCTTCAAAGTGTGCATATTTCTTGATATGTGTATGGACTTTATGTGCATATACATACTGTGTACATATGAGGGCTGTATATTGATTACAATTTGTATCGTACAGGTGGTTGTACTGTATAAGCATCTCTTGAAATATAACCTGACCAAACACTTTAAGGCTTCCAACTTTGCAGCAGTAGTAATGGACCGTTATGTAACGTTAGTACAGCAGTAGCAAATATGCATCACTACAGAAAATGAATTCAGGCATCGATTAAGCAATGTGATGGTAGGTTAATAAAGGGTGAAAATTTTTTTTATGAGTTGTATTGACATTACCTGTGCTTTTATGTCTCTGTGGAGCACTTTACGATCATGAATATGTTTAACAGCCAAGCATATTTGAACAAACCAGTTCAATACCTGTGCATGGGGAAAAAACACATTACAATAAAAATACAATAACTGTTCTTCCTTGCACTGATGACAGAATATAATAAATATATGATGGTGCGAGGTGGAATGCACTTTTTTTAGACTCATTTATTATGCATTAACATATGGCATGTTTCTTTTATCGGATATTATCCCCAGTCCAAAAATGAAACACTGAACATTTTTATTCATCTACCTTTGCCTGCAGTCACGAAAGCTTTAAGTCAAGATTTACCTTTGCCTGTCAAACTAGGCGTATGAACGATCACAAATCGCTCTTTAATTCCATCAAAAAAGTAACCTGCAGCGCCACACCTATTACCATCATTAGGGGAAAGAACGGTGATCCAATCTCCGACCCCCAGGAACAGGTTAGCAGATTTGCTGAGCATTTCTGTGAGGTCCTGGGGGAGGGGAAATCCCTCAGCCAGGAAAACGTGGGAAAAAGTGGGGATGACCCTGCTGAGGCTGCGGTGCCTCAAATATTGGAGGAGGAAGTCACCCCCTGTGAGTGGCTGGCTGAGGTGCCATCTGCTGAGGAAGTACTGAAGGCGATCCAGAGTCCGAGACCAGGAAAGGCACCGGGCAGAGATGATCTCCCAAGCGAAATGCTGAGGGAGGGTGGCGTTTGTACACAGACTGCCCTACATGACATCATAACAACAGTCTGGACCACTGGACGGGTTCCGCAGGATTGGAAGGATGCCCTGGTGGTCCACCTCTTTAAGAAGGGGGACCGCACAGACTGTAACAACTACAGGGGCATCTCACTCCTAAGTGTCCCGGGAAAGGTGCTGGCAAGGATTACTCAACATCGCCTTGCTAGGCACGTTGAGGAGAGACTTGCGGAGCCTCAATGCGGTTTTAGGAAAGGGCGATCTTGCACAGATGCCATATTTTCTGTCCGTCTGCTACAGCAGAGGTGTAGGGAATTCCAACAAGACCTACATCTCTGCTTTATTGACCTGGTCAAGGCCTATGATACCATCAGTAGGCCTGGGCTCTGGGTTGTTCTTTGTGCTTTCGGAGTCCCTAACCCTCTGCTCACGATCATTAAGGACCTTCATGATGGTGAGCGGGTCCGGGTAAAACTATGTGGCCGGGAGTCAGAGCCATACCCTGTACACCTTGGGGTGCGACAGGGATGTCTTCTGGCTCCCACATTATTTAACATCTATTTTGACCACGTAGTTCGTGAAGCCTTCAATAGCTGTACCGGGGGAATCTCCATATGGTACAAATACAATGGGAGGCTGATCGATGCCCGGGTGCGGTGAAGGGATGGCTCCCTATTGCTCAACCACATTATGCATTCCGATTATCTGGTAATTGCTGCTCACTCAGAGGAGGAGATGGAGGCGTTGCTGCTGAACCTGGAGTTTGCCACCAAGAGGTGGGGCCTTATCATCAGCCCCACCTAAACTAAGCACCTGCCAGGGTATTTTGTACCATCGGACACTCCACCCCCACAACTCCCAATTGGTGATAGGGCAGTTGTGGAGTGGAGAGTTCCCATACCTTGGCAGTGTGCTCATGACCGGCTCTGGTTTAACAGCAGAGGTCTCACTCTGAATCAGTTGAGCGGCATTATGTTTTAATCGGTTGCGTAACGCTGTGTGGAAGCTACCTGGTCTCTCGCTCCACACGAAGCTTCAGGTCTTCTCGGCCACGGTCATTCCCTCCCTTAGCATAAAAAGACGTGGACCCCCCTAATGGAACATCATCGCCGGTTAGAAACATTTAGGCTGGCCTGCCTACGATCGATCCTGGGTTTAACCAGGTTGGATTGTGTGAGCTCACAAATCCTTGAAAGATGTGGACAAAGTCCCATCGGTGAGCTCCTCCAGCAGGCAAGGCTGCGCTGGCTGGGTCAGGTAGCCTGCATGCGCAGCCACCGCATGCTTAAACAGCTTTTGTTCGGCCGGATCAAGGGGGCTAAACAGACGAGGCATGGGCTAGAGAAGAGATGGAGTGATGTTATACAGGAGGACGTGGAGCTGAGTGGACTTGCCGATGACTTGTACCAGCGGTGTCAAGATCGGCCTCTGTGGCGGAGGGTCGTGAAGGACGCTACTGGGCAGTTGAAGGCAGTCGCCCTCCAACAACAACGGAGGGCGGAGGAGCAATGCTCACAACAACGAGCGGAGCGCCGGGTGGCTGAAGCACAGCAAGTTGGCACAGTAGGGGGCATGGGTGGTGCATCAGTCAGTCGTCTCAGTCGTCCCGTCGCACCTGCTGGGTCTGCCCCGTGACCTCCTGCCAGCGGGCGTTTGACACTTCATGTGGCCTCAAGGTGCACATAGCCTCACACAAGCGTTGTGGTGATGTCACCGCCACTTCGTGGCGAATGGCGGTTGTTGTTGTTATAAACGGTTTAAATGCAGAAAGTCAATACACAGACCACCAGTGGTGTAATAAAGTTTAGGTAAATGTCAAGCCTCCCAACCCATTTAACAAGATTAATTAATGTGACTATAATTATCCCTGGAAAGTGGGTGTGCAAGGGCAACATTTGCCCTTGGTTATTTTTACACAAATCATAAAAAGTAGGCAAATAATAATGAATTATATTTGTAGAGGAGTAGTCGCGGACGTAACGTCACGCTCGCCTCCGGGGTTGATGGCATCACGGGAAGTGACGTCATACGCACCTGGGGGCGGGACGACGTCATGTCCTGCAGGAATATATAAAGGAGAGCCCGTGACATAAACCGGGTCATTGTTGGAGTGAGAGTCAGAGAATGGTGGAACGGGGAGCCAGGGGCAAGGGGATAGGACGAGGGGAGAGCACAGCGCCAGGGCTGGAGGTGTCTACGCTCCTCGGTCGGCTGTGTTGGATGAACCTACGGCCGGCGCAGAGGAGGCAGCACAGGGCAGCCGGCTGTGTCAGGAATTAGTGGGACCTAGCCCGGGACCCCTAACCCCTGGGAAGTTGTTCACCCTTGTGCTTTTGTTGAAGCTTTGAATAAACTTATGGCGAAAGCCCTTAACTTCCGAGCCGGCCCCGGGGGTGGAGGAGACCCAGACGGAGCGGGAGGAGACGGCGGATGGCGGTGCCAGTGCGCCACCGCCGGGGGCTGTGGACGCCATCGCGGGGCAGCTGCAGCTGCTCCTCCAGTCCGTGACGCAGCTCCACGCCGCTATCTCCGAGGTGGGAGCACGGTTGCAGCCGCCCGGCCCACACATGGAAGGGGAGCCGCGGATTCCCACCATTCTCCCTCCCGCCACTTTTGATTCTGGCGCCATTTTTCCAATGGGTGCGCCGCGGGAAATGGCCACCATTTCGGCTGTGACGCGGCCAGTGGCGGCCATGTTGGCGGGGGCGCCGCAAGCGGCCGCCATTCCGGCTGCGACGCCGCAAGTGGCGGCCATTGTTGCTGCGACACTGCAAGTCGGCGCCATGGACGCCGCAACGCTGCGCTTCCTTGCGGGCGCAGCCGAGGCTCCACTGCACGCCGCGCCTGCAGGGCCAGCCGGCGGCGACGACGCGGCTATACATCACGCTGCGCCTGCTGGGGGTGCCCCAGGTATGTCCGCGGGTGCCATCCTCGCCGCGCCGCCAGAACTTGCCGCGGCTCCAGGCATCGCCGCGCCGCCGGAGGTGGCTGCTCCTGCTGCCGCGGCTCCGCACCTCGCCGTGCTGGCGAGCTTTGCCGCGGATACCGCCGCGGCCCCGTACCCCGCCGTGTCTGCCGGGCTGGCCGCGGATGCCGCCGCGGCTCCGTACATCGCTGCCGCCACTCGCCGCGTCTCCGGTGTGGCCTACGGGGGCCGCAACGCGGCCGCCACTCGCTACGTCTCCGGAGTGGCCTGCGGGTGCCGCAGCGGAACCGCCCATCACCGCGTCTCCAGCGTGGCCTGTGGGTGCCGCAACACGGCCGCAATTCGCCGCGTCTCTGGTGTGGCCTACGGGGGCCGCAACGCGGCCCCCACTCGCCACGTCTCTGGAGTGGCCTGCGGGTGCCGCAACGCAGCCGCCCATCGCCACGTCTCCAGAGTGGCCTGTGGGTGCGGCAACACAGCCGCCATTCGCCGCGCCTCCGGTGTGGCCCGCGGGTGCCGTGGGGTTTCCACACCTCGCAGCGCCGCGTGGCCAAGGGCTGCGCCAGGGCCCGTTCGACATGGCGTACATGTCGGTCGGCTGGCCCATGGAGGAGGCGTTCCGATTTGCTTGGACGAGAGGGCGCTGCAGGCCTTCAAGTCAATCCCACCGGCCGATAAGGCTACGCTTCCGGCGACGTATATTCAGATGGCCAACTTCTTCGATCCACCATCCAGTGCGCGGCTGAAGTTCTCATGCTGAGGAGGGGGAATCGCCTTTGGCCTTCTGCTGTTCGCTCCTGGGCCTGGCACAGGCTGCTTACCCTGACGTGGAGGGCAGGCCGCTGGACTCGATGGCCTTGGAGAGGATGCTGGACCTGGCACGGGAGTTGGGGATCGCGTTGTTGATCAACAACGATCGTCAGATCACATCCTTGGTGGTGGCCGAGAATATTCAGGCGCACCTCTCCCTCCGCCAACAGCCCCAGATGGCGGCGTGCGCGGGGACCCCGGCACCGGAAGGGGGAGCCGCGTCTCAGGGCATGGACACCATCGTAGCCCTGGCGATGGCTGATCGTCGCGGGAGGGGCGGGTGGTCGCCGTCTGGAGCAGCGGGGGTGGCCGGGACCCTCCCATCGGCAGGATGCGGCCTCGGTGGTCTGCTTATGCTGTGGCCAGCAAGGCCACATTGAGCTGGGCTGCCGGAATGCCCCGGGAGCCTTCGGCAGGCCAACTCTGGGCCCTCCCGGTCCCTCGTCAGCTTCGGGTCCCGGACCCCAGGCGAGTCGCGACGCATCACCCGCACAGCCACTACCCTTGCCTCACGCATCTAGCAGGGCTAGGGCCCATCGTCATGGGGTTGTCCTTCAGGGGTCAGGTGCACCATCGTCACCCGCTGGATGGCCCAAACAGACCCGCCATTGTGACGCGCTTGCGCACCGAATGGT